CGCTGGTATGAGTGGATGACGAAGGCAAGCTTGAATAACCAATGGTTTTGAAGCGTCCCTTTGGTGAGTACTAACGGAGGAGGATCGACTGTTTATGTAAGCTAACATACCTCATAGTGGTATTTGCGAACGAAATTCAGAGTATGAGTGTCTCTTACGTCAAAAGAGTCATCCCACTGTAAACATAGCACCATTCATGTGTCATTGCTCTATAGCTAAATACACATTAAATGGTTTAAAAAAATGGAGAAGGCCTACTGGATGCGCTCAGAGTTCAGGGCAAGGATGCCAACTCAGTTAAGTTTCGTGTTGCATCTATACAGTTTTCTAGTCACTTCATTCTCATGAAGATAGTTCGATCAAAATAGTATTAAGCCCACCAGTAGGAGCTAACATAGCTTCACTTATCTAATTATTCTGCCCGGAAACTCCAGTCATACGCCAATGAAACTACAAGTACGAACCACAGCAACCAAATCATCGTCAACAAATCTAGCGAGACTTATCTTTGGGAAGGATATTATGATTGGTATATCAGATGGGAGTGTATACTTGCGCTAGAATTGCTTAAGTAGCTTGTGGAGAGACATCTTGATTGATATGCAGGAGTAAGTTCAATATCATGATTGTTATGTTACAGATAGAGGGAAGCTCGTGTTTTATCCCATAGCAAGTTCGCTTGTAGACTGACCACGTAACCAGTATCGAGCGCACCAAGATGTACTCCCAACTGAACAGCCATGCAAATTGTCCTGCATCAATAACCAAAATCTCATACTGTACACACTACCAATTGTATTGCCGTTATCTAGAGACTGGATCTCCTTCACGCGCCATAATGCCATACTGCTATAACAGCTACCTATGCACCAGCTACTAGATCTACCTAAAGTAGCAGTCAACTTTCTCATCTGATTAGAATGGTTTGTTATGGATACAGAGTTTATCTGCAATGGTATCTAGCACATATTTCCATAGAATGAAATGAGCAGACAGGCAAACTGGCCAGAGAAGGCGGGAAGAAACAGGACATGAAAAAGGATAAATATGCCTCCGACTCATCCATCGAGCAGAAAGCTAGAAAATAGATTCTTGAAGCATGGAAAAAAGATTGGGAATCGGAGCTCTGGCAAGTATTACGGGCTCCAAGCTCAGACTAACCATCCCAATTTTTCTTACAAACTACTTGGATTTCAAGTATATAGTAGGGAAACCGAATCCAGACTCTTCCAGGCAAGCCTTGGAATAGTCAACACAAGCGTCTATCTACAAATAATAGGAAAGGCAAATAATAACATTTGCAATTTTTGTGTGAAAGGAAGACAGAATGTGCAGCACTTGTTGTTACAGTGTCAAAATTCCAGAGACCAAAAGAACAGATGCTTCCAGGGCATAAAGCCAATAAAACATCCGACCTTGTTTTGTACTAAAAGAGAGAAGGAGGCATCACTTAAAATTTGGATACATCCAAGTGCATGGCGTATATAGAGGGAGTCAAACCAGGACATAAAATTGGGAAATATTTTACTTGGATTGAAGCGGAGAATGATTGATTGGAAGGAGAATGTTAGAAAAAAAATGTTAATGTGACATAGCTAGATAGTTGAAAAAACTATGAATTTGAAAAAAATTAATCTACCATACCAAATAGCTGAGCACGACAAAGGAAGCGAAGGTTTAGCAGATAGACAACTGATCACTGGCCGAAGATCGTTTGGTCTCAGATGGACAATTTCAAGCTGAAGAGGATTGTATGGGTTGCGACTTTAGTTGCTAGGAGTTGACGACGCCCTTCAAATAGTCGTGATTCAGTGCCGAAGAAGAGCGGTATGAGTTAAATTTGGTGGGTTTTCGAGTTGAAGGAATTGTACTTGGTATTCTGGACGAAAATCAGTCGACAGAGATTTCACAACTGCAAGAAAGTTGAGCTGAATCTCATCGCCACAAACAAAAAATTACTAATAGGCCTAGGTCTACTTGGGGGTCGTATTTACACAATCGAACCCCCTCAAACTCCTAATATATTCATGACGCAGTGTCTGTCAGTCGACCCCACATCTGCGACCCACCACATTTGCGACCCACCACATTTATCAGACCCACGACCAACACACGCCGTTGTGAGCAATTTCATGATGAAAATAAGGGAATATACACCCATGAGATCACAATGATCCACAGTGACGACAAAATTCTAACGGTGCGATGAGGAGTGTAAGGCCTGGACAAAGCCGGCATCTAGGACGACATAGACACCTTAGAGTCAAGGGCCCGGACGCTTAGTGGCCGAGACTGAGGAAGAATTCGCGCTAAGTCGTATATAAAGCGGGCTTCCCGACGGTCGAGCTTGGCATGATTCAACACATATGTGGAGTATGAGGTAGCTCGGTCAGTTAGACGGGACGAGGCCTGTGTACTTCAATGGCAGTTGACCTGATCTAGCCCGACTCCACTCGTGCTCAAGCTCCAAAAGGAGTGCGGAAGGTGTTAATTACTTAGCACGTTCATATACGGACAAACCCATGGCGCCAGAGTGGGCATTATCTTTTGTATCAGATGGCAAGTGGAAGAGTAGCCTCCGCACGTGTACTAGCCGACTCTATATCGGGCCGAGGAAACAGACAGCCCAGCATAGATAATTTAATGAAGCATTTTTACACCAAGAGGAACGATGCTGCGGCCATTTTCACTGCTACAACGACTCCAACATGGCCTTGATTGTGTTGGAAATATCGCGCAATAGAATGGGCGCAATATTCACGGAACGAAAGTAGAAGTTGACTAAAAGAGTGTCATGTTCGGATGAAAGCTAGAAGTGTGGGAAGTGTGTGCTACAAGTACAAGAGTAGGAGGGCAAGACTGAACGCCTGTACGCGATGTACTCTACGAACCTGGGAGTGAAATATTCTCCCAGAGACGATTCAGTGACATATCGCAATTCCGAAGTTGGCTCACGAGGCAATGATCCAAGACTCTCTACGATATTGGTTCCTCTCTCTTAATGCGATGGATCCACACCAAAACCTCACCAAGTTTACAGGTAAGACCTAGTATATTCTCGTTTCAATGACCACAGCTATCTTCGACCTCCTCTGGCCTCAGTGGACCACTAAATACACGCCCACGCCGATATTTATACCCGACGGAGGAAGCAAAGCGTGTAGCACAAATCTGAGAGATAGCTCTTTGGGATGGACGTGAAAGGGATCAAGACAAGTTTACAAGATGATGCAGAAGAGGGATACGTTTTCGACGGGCGTGAAATTTCGAATTTCGGCAAGAGTTTTACGAATTGAGCTTTGTGCGTGCCAAGGCTTTGGTTGTGAGAGTGCAGGTGACCCTATAAAAACAAGCCAAGGATGGAAGGTGTTGTGATCCGCCTCCTGGTAATGTTCTCTGGTATGGTTTGAGTAGTCTGGGCACCTACCCCACTTGGGCAGGAGACATCTTAGATTAAATTTCGCGCGGTGAAATGTTGATAGATGACAGAGGCATGTCTGGGTAACTCAGGGTTTTCGAGACCTTCTCTTGGGTGGGTATTCACGGATGAGAGTTGACTTGAGGTGAAGAAAAAGCCACCAAAACGACGCAGAGGTACATGTAAATTAAATCCCAGGCATGAGTACACTTTCTTTATATTGAGTCATTTATTACATACTTTTCTTTGATATTGTGTCACAGCTAGATAGCTGCATACGTAATTAAAATCTGATGCAAAAAAAATAATAAAAGGTGCGCCAGCCTTAATGGCGATACGCCAAGCTGCACCAATCCACGTGACTAACGATCAACACATTGTGATCTCACTTCTGACCCATGTACATCCCTAAATAGTGTTTCGAGATATACATATTGAAAGCTTTTCTGAAAACAGAAAGCCTCAGTAGAAGAGCACTCCTGACCTCTTTCGGTATTTCGAGACTCACAGCAGGGTTGCCCTGGCCCAAGGATTACATTTCAGGTTTGTGACAAGCAACGGCACATCGGGAAGTTTGTATAGACTGAGCTGGCACGACGTTAAATATAAAAAATGTCCTACGTCTATGTTGTTATCACTTAATTATGTAGATATAGTTTAGCTGTAACATATTGTAGAGTACATGCCTGTTATGCCTCAGGCAGTAGTATCTGTAATTCAGTCTACCATCAAGGACCCAATCATTAGGGATTGGGTCAAGTAATAATCAACTATCGTTTTCAACTAGTCCACCTATTCAGATTTGAATAATTAATCCAACAGTATTTGTAATTTATATAATATGATCCGATATACACATCAATTAACTTGTGATTCACATCAATGTTTTTCTTCAGGTTTATCATATCCTTTTGCAAACCTGATGATCTATATCAAATTTTAACATCATGCTACTTGGCTTCCTTTCGGAAGTTTTCCAGAGTAAAACACTTGCAAAATATCGTGTTATTTATTTAAAGAATCAGGTCCTTTCAATAAGTGTAAGCATAGAAGTTTGTTCACGAATATTATGTCATAATATTCAAAAAAGAAAAGTATTTAAACTAGTCAGAATATTATTTCATGTACTGTTTTAATTAAAAGGTGAAAGGAAATGGGAGGTGTGGTTTTTAGGTCCAAAGTATTAAACCCTCAGTGTTTCAAATGAGTTTCATGGTGTCGGTAGGTCATCTGAATTTGAGCTTAGATGTGGAATCCAAAAAGATGGGTTATAAAAGAGGGCAGAATATTATCTTTTCATGTTAAATTTTCGAAATATTTCTGCTGCCTATATGAATGATTTTGGAAACAGTTGATCATATTTGAGGAAACGGGAATCAAGTTTTAGAGTCTCAGTAACTATAAGTAAGTTATCTACAGGTTATTAACACTTGTCAGTGTTTATAATTTGTAACCTGTGAAATTCCGTCCCTACTACTTAGAGGGGTTAGGAAAGGTTTTGATATATCTCGTAGCGGTTTTTTAGGATCGGATTACCTGCTATTTGAGCATTTATTCAAAAGTTACTGAGGGCGTCAACTTCTTATCTTATTTTTTGTTCTGAGCTCTGTCTTACTTCTACACGTCGACTAAGAGGCATTTTCCAAGGCCTCTTTGGAACTAATGGTGGCAGCGGATATGATACTGGTATCATCCAAGCAATGAGCCAGTATTGCACAAAGTTTAAAAGAGAATTACTGATCCAGTAAAGAAGTAATACACATGGCACATTCATTAACATGGGACCAGCGCATAGTGCAACAACTCCCATGCATCTTCGGATCAAAATCTGCCACTTTCCTTGCCTTATCGTCTGAAGGCTTTGTGTTGCGAATATATTGAGCAGCATCGTACCTGAAAGGAGAAATGGCAGCACCATTTGAGGATCTGCTAGAAGTAGATTTGGAAACCATAACATCCCTTCAGTTGCTAAATCAGGTTCAATAGGTATGATGGGAAAATCAGCGCTCATCGTGTCCGGACTTATGAGTTTGGTGAGCGTTGTTAGCCTCATATTTGCCATTCTCCTCCAAACATCTAACAGTCCAAAGAAGATAGGAATTTGCAGAGCCCCAAGAAACATCTTCCAACGCGCACAGTTGTATTGTTTGAATAGTTCCTTTCTCTTGCCCTTGAGTTTTGCATCAAGGGCTCTCTGTAGTCTAACAGGTCCAAGGTGACCGTATTCTCGAAGAGCTTCCTTCCTAAATGAGTGTTTCCATGCTTGGAGTATCGGAATCAACATGACTCGCCTCGCAAGCGCTTTTTGTTGGATAATGGCTATAGGTAGCGATGTAGACGCCCTGACAAGTAGTGCGACCAGCGGTATTGTGAGTGACCATGATGTTCCACTAATGAGGTGGACCGACTGAATTAAAGCGTGCGTTGTTTGGAGGGTTTCATGATAGAAGAAATTTGGAGTAGTGGCATGAAAAGATCTGAAGCGTTGATTGACTAGCTGGGAAACATGACTAGATATGCATGATCGATTTTTGATAATCGTGTGGCGTAGTTGAGAGCTAAATACTGGCTTTTTCAACGACAGGCTATGTTTAGCGGGCAACATTTTTGATAGGTCTTCGAAGGGTGTTTAGGTGGAACGAAAAATGTGCTAACAAATTACAGCCATCCATGTCTTTTCAGCCTCACTTATGCCGGCGCTCCATCTCCATAAGCTCCGATGTCTGAATGGCATATTTGCTGATCCCTAGACGTAGAGGTATAACAACTCCAATCGCTACATGCTTCTGATCGATGGCATACTCTTTGCTATCAACAACCAAGGATGTCATCGAGGGTCTGAGCAGTAACCAGTCCAGCTTCATGATTTTATTTTCTTCCCTCGCTGGTATCCTAATTTTACTGCCCATATTCGGACCAAAACTTTTTCAATTTCTAGGAAGAATCGTGGGCCTTTATCTACAAAATAGTGCAGGCGACAGAAGACGTCAACTACTTTCTTTAATCGCGAACGATGAGCAACAGTGGGATGCAAGGGAAAATGGTAGGAGAGACAGTGAGGAGTGGGAGAATGTGGAGAGACACACTATTGAAATATCTGAACCTCAGGAGACAAGAGACCTAGAGTGGGACGGCATTATCGGGTTTTTCCACCCGTTCTGGTAGGTTAAATTCTGGATACATCACTTAATTTACTAATAACAAAGCAATGCTGGTGGTGGGGGCGAACGAGTTCTCTGGGCTGCCGTTCGAGCGACACAAAAGACATACCCCAAAGCAAAATGCGTGATCTACACTGGTGATCATGAAGTCGATAAAAGAGCTATCTTGGCTCGGGTTAAGGTTGGTGACATCTCTATTAGCTATGTTAAAAGCACTAAATCCGGCCAGAATAGCTTCAATATAAATCTCCATGCCCCAACAGTAACTTTTCTCTACCTTACAACCCGTAGCTGGGTTCTGGCTTCCAGCTGGCCACGCTTTACTTTATTGGGTCAATCCATTGGCTCACTTATCCTCGCCTGGGATGCATTTGGTCTAATGATTCCAGATATCTTTGTGGACACTATGGGTTTCGCATTTTCCTTGGCTCTTTGTAAGGTTCTTTTTCCGTACGTTCCTACGGCCGCATATGTTCATTATCCGACTATCTCAATTGATATGCTTCAATCTCTCGATTCCAAATCCTGTCACGGAAATCAAGGAATACATGCTGGGAAAGGTGCTGGCGTGGCAGGAATGGTAAAAAAGATGTACTGGCTGCTATTTGCCAAGGCATATTCTGTGGCAGGAGGATCTATTGACATTGTCATGACTAATTCGACGTGGACTCTCGGGCACATTACTTCACTCTGGGACTTGTGGCGCAGAAGGTTCAATAAATCCCCCGCCGTCGTTGTCTATCCACCCGTAGCTGTTGAAGAAGTTGAACGGGCGATCGACATCTCGCAGTCCACCGAAAAACAACGACAGCCAATTTTGCTATACATTGCACAGTTCCGACCCGAAAAGAATCACCAACTCATCATCAAAGCATTTGCTGCCTACAAAAAGAAAAAATCTGCCCTGAGCTCAGCTAAACTAGTTCTCGTAGGCAGTATACGTGATCAAAGTGATTCCTTACGGGTTTATTCGCTTCGCCTTCTCGTGAACGAGTTGCAGATCAAGAATAGCGTCGAATTTCATATTGATGCTTCGTGGCCCGAAATTTTACAATGGCTGACCAGTGTAAGTGTAGGCGTAAATGGAATGTGGAATGAGCACTTTGGCATAGGTGTTGTTGAATATCAGGCCGCAGGGCTAATAACAGTAGTTCACAATAGTGGAGGACCAAAGGAAGATATTGTAACATTGGTTGATGGAAAGCCAACAGGTTTCCATGCCAGCACTATCGCTGAGTACGCCCAATGTTTTGAGGAGGCATTAGGCATGCCAGACGGGGTCAAGGTTGAAATGAGGCAACGTGCAAGACGAAGTGCCGACAGGTTTAATGAAGGGAATTTCATTTCTAGCTGGAATGTTCAACTAGATAAGCTAGTCCAACTGCATAAACAGCGGCAGCATGGTTAGGTCCCGGAACAGGATGGACAGATAAGGATTACAGCCAGGCTCACCAGCTCTTGCATACTAGTTGGCCCGCCGATGAAAGGCGAGATGGATGACCCACATAGTCCGTAAGGATGCCAAGGTCTTCTCACATAAAATTAGTGGAGGCCTGAAGCAGTAGTTAAGCCTAGCAATAAGTATGCGGTTACTAGTTCCAGCCAAATTACCCGACCCTAAAGTGACATGACAATGCATGATGTCTCTATCCATACCTCGACAATGGGAATGTCTAGTCTGCATGCCTAGTCCTCTAGACAAGCGGGTAAGACATGTGCAGCATGTGCGGTTCTAATTTGAATGCAGATACTGCGTAGGTGTCAACAATGTGGAGTTTGAGAGGTGGTGGGACCGGCCCGTTTAGGCCCACAATCATGACTTAGCCCAATTAAGTCAGAAATGGCGGGGTTTCACTGATGGGCAGAGAGAAAAGTTGACATTCTCAGAAGTCGAGACACAGGCCCGTTTCTGTCAGATTTATCCCTGAATATGGCTACCGTTCGAGTCGGGCCTTACCTCTAGGTGGCCTTAAATTATTATTTTTTTTCACGTACGGCGTGTCTACCTTTAGACGTGTGAAGGTGCGCTTCTAAGGTATTGTCTTCCTCTACAACATGCAAGCACACACAATCACTGTGCATCTCTCCCAGAACATGGTCCATCGTGTAATGAAGAAGGAGCCCCCATAAACCCGGAGCAATGTGCTAGTTCTGATTGAAGTTTTGTGTTCGCCATCCGGCCGCTTTTCTTAGCCCTGGGAGAATCTCGGGATGGAGGGCATTGCATACAGTTTGGGGGCTGGACGGAGCGAGAATTAGAGTGGCGTTGAAGAGTAGCATCTGTGCAGTCGCTATCTTGGGTCCGGGGAAGAAATCGAGGACGTGATTAACAGTACATGGGAGACCAAGTCGATCTCCGCATTTCCGAAAATGTCTGTGGCTCGGCTCGGAAAAGTCATGCTGGGGAGTTCACTGATCTCCAATCCATGTTGCTAGGAGCATGCTCGGCGCGAGTGGTGGACAAGATGAAGGCAGCGCGAGCTTCTTGCTTGCACAGGCGCAGCACTTCAGGACGCGTCAGGACGAGCTCACGGTTGTGCGTGGAGAATGATTGAGTGTCAAGTGCCGGTAGAATCAACTCAGGGCGACAAGAGCCTCAAGGTCTAGAAGGAACAATAGAGTCATGTACTATGATTTTCACTGTTGTTGTTAGTAGACCGAAAGTGATTCTTTCCACAGACATGGTGACCACCATGATCGCCTGCTCTAGCTCTCTGGACCTCGTCCCCCATGACCATTTCTCATGGCGCACGGCACTCACGAGGGCGCTGGTGGATTTCCTACTCAGAATCTTGGCAGATAGGCCCATGTGAAGGGTGGCTGCCCCCTGTATACACTAGACGGCCCCTCCAGTTCCGCCGCCACCGATTCATAAACTCCACCATGCCACAAGAAGGCATAAATACACTAGTCATAATTTTTCATAATCCCTGTCGATCTAGCCTAATTGTTGCCCCGGCCGAAAATCTGGCGGCGGGAATCTCAGCCCCATTCAGACGTTGGATGGGCGCGCCTGTTCTTGTCTCAGCCAATCAGGCTCGTTTGACCCCCACCATTGCATGGTTCATGTGCTTTGCTCATTTTGGCTATGTCATCAGAATAGCAACGCAACCAGTCGCTAGGCTGGTTTTGGGGTCGCAGGAAACCATCATTGGCATTCTAGGAGCTTGCAAGCATTACCAGTGGATTGCAGGCAGCCTGACCCGCACCTTATGTAATAAAGAAATTCAAGGTTTCCTCCTTCCTATCCTACTCCTCCTCACCCTAGCCCTTACCCATTCCTTCTCCACCCCCCCTAATCCCAAATTAAATCTCGTTCGCCAACCCCGATCGGTTGGCCATGGAAATAAATAAATTTGTCTGCATTCCCGTCAGATTCTCTCACCACCGCACACACTACATCTTCTACAATCTCATCTAATTCGCAACTCCCGCTTATTCGTGCCTTATAATCTATACTCATTACTACCAACATCATGAAGACTATGCAAACCGCTGTCTGGGGTGCTCTAGCCGCTCTCGTCGTAGCTGTTACAGCCCAGACGGGTGACAATCTTCCTGAATGCGGTGTAAGTTCCTATTACCCTATCGTACCCCAAGTAAAGATGGTGTATTACGACTGAGGTCGAGAATGCACACAAATCTAACTTTCTCAAGAGGCGTTGTATAGACAATATGCATAAGAAAGCTACGGAACTCGGATGTGCCGATGGCGACGCCGTATGCCTGTGCAAGAACGCAAACTTCGCATATGGCATCCGGGATTGTTCGACAGATGTATGTGGCGCTGAAGCAGCGGTACCTGTGATTGCATATGCTGTTACCTACTGTAATTCGGCTGGCGCTGGAGGTTCCGGATCTGGTTCACCATCTGGGTCGGGTACTAACTCCATGCCTGGAATGTCCCACACAGGTTCTTCAGGTCAGTAATGAACAAGTCAGCACGACACTTTTCTCACTGAAATAGATTCTACACCTGCAACCGCTTCCGCAACAATGAGCTTAGGCACAGGTCTCCCATCTGCCGCAACCACATCTGCCCTTTTAACAACTATCACTTCCGGGACAGAGGTGATCACAAGCACTATCGGGTCTACCACAGTTTACCACAGCTCGCATGCAACATCCATGTCATCTCTGGTGTCATCGCTAAGCTCTGCCATTGAATCTTCGATGTCAATGTCCTCGATGACCGGAACAGCCTCCCATACTTCCTCAACAGTGAGTACTGTATCAAACAGATGTTTATATTTGCTGACAATATAATAGACCACACCATCCTCAACATCAAGTGATAATGCTGCCCGTCAAACCACCTACGCTGGCCTTGCAGCAGCAGCAGGACTAGCAGCTTTATTTTTGTGAGAATTTAATCATGCAAGTAGGGAACAAGTATGAGAGATAGACTTCGAATGAGATGACGATAACGGACCAGGGTTTTTAGTAACAGACAAAGATACCCTTAATTTTTATTTCTATGTTAATATTAGCCTTCGGCAAGATCATGCAGACTATAGCGTCCATGCTTTAGTTATAGAACGACTCTAGTCATTATTAATATATGTATCTTGACTTCAGAAATTTCACCATCCTGCGTATGTAACATTTGATACGTAAATCAGTAAAGCTGTAACACACAACTATTCAATCTTAATCTACTATTGTGCGCTTGTATCTCTAAAAATCTGTGCGTCTAGGTAAAATTTTAAATTAAACAAACTCAAAAAACCCCCCGAAATGTTCATGTCTGCATGTATGCCAATGAAATCAGACAAGTAAGGTATATTGGATGAACTACCTAGGTAAGGTCATAGCACCAATCAGGTTACGCGTCAAAAACTACTGCACGTTGAAATCAGCATGTCACACTTATCTTTGCTGCTAATCACGATATCCTGGTTTAAATAATGCATTGCCCCCAGGATTGCAGGGCAGTCGGTGATTGCGATAACGGCTTTTTACATGAATAACTAGCACAGCGTGATGTTGTGCAAAATTATGATTGTTTACTTTCAGGCTTGTATTGATATATCACGTGCTAATTAACTGGGCCCTTCTGTATGCATTCGAAAGTTGTTGCGATTGAGACCATGCCAATTCTGCTTGGTGTACTAAATAATACAACAACAAACAAAGCTTTTGACCCGACCAATCCTGATCTTACCCGTGAAATAAATGAAGGCGAGTCGGGTTACACGAAGCCCCATCATCTACGTTCCAACGAGCCAAACAGGCCAGCTCTGAATATTTTGGACTGCATTATGACACCTTTATCAGCAGCAAGTCTTTTTGCATTCCTAGGTTCGAGTTTCCTATTCTCAGCAGAACTTGAAGAGCAGGGATTCTGGGGCTGATAAGATTATCTACTGTAAATAATAAATAAGCCTCGTTCCGTGATGTCGCAGCTAGAAAGGCTGCATACACTCCATGTACAGAAAGATAGTCTAGTCCTACCTTAGAAAGCTGATCTATGCCGAAATAAGGGCTTGTTGATGATAAGTTACGACTCTTGGAGTCCAAACTCGACAAAGGAAACTTACTAGCGGAATCTTGACTTCGCACTATTCTTCCTTAGCTACCACGCACCTCGGACTTGGTTAAATCCCATCGTCACCCTAAATGCCGTGCTCCGATAGTCTTCTTACTCCCTGTATTCCCCGGCTTGCTGCCTCTGAGATTTCGATTCTATGAACATATTCCTTGAGCGGTTGTCGGCAGCCTGATCCCAGCCAAGAGCATTGGAGTGACGTTAATGCAAGGTTAAGCATATGTGATATGCCGCGAACCATCCATGTTCCGTTCGAGAAGGAAGTGGGAGGAGGTGCGATAATGATCCAGTCGGCCGGTCATGGTTGTCTCGATGGACTTCTGCACTCGTGCCATCGGCGCCCTTGAACTTGAAGGAGCAGCTCTGTTCAGCTGCCCTGCTCTTTTATTCTTTGATCATTTAACGTGTTTACAGCTATCTAGGCGCGACAAAGGATCAAAGCTATGCATACATGTTGTATGACTCTTTTGACGTTAGAGACACTCATACTCTGGACTTCATCCGCAAATACCGCTATGAGGTATGCTTACTCACACAAGATTCGCCCCTCCTCTGTAGGTGTTGGTTCAATGTCTCAAAAGTGCTCAAAAACAAGTGGTGTAATTCTATCTACCTTGTTCAGTATCCTCCCTCAAGCATTAATATCAAGGTTACAAAGCAGAGCCTGGCGCCCTTACCATATCACGTGATAATTGACCAATGTTCATGGGAGTTTATGCCTGAGACAAGCCCTGCAAACCTACGCCATACACCTGTGAACCGACAATATATGTATATAATTCATTTTGCCTGATTTGGCGCCTTGAGGCCCATGCAGGTTTTTTATCGGAAGATATGTACTTGCAGTAGGATGACTCAGTTTGAAGTTTAGAACACTCACACTCAGATTTCATTTGCAGATACCACTCGAGGTTAACCCTTACGGCGTATAACCTCTTCTATGCTTACCCACCACAGGGAAAAGCGTGAAAACCCTGTGACTATCCCAGTGTGCTTTCATCATTCCACAAGTACAATATCACCGCGAGAGAGAGTGGTGTGTGGGTCTGACTGGAATCGAACCAGCTTTCTCCTGTCTCGAATGGGGTAGGTGTTCAAGCTACCCAGTATCTACTTGGGAGAACGGCCCGGATGGTATACCACTGCGCAATCCAACCCCCGAACCGACAGTAACTACCCAAAAAATGGACGTTTCAAAACCCTTGATTATCCAAACATGCCTCCGTCGTCGATGCAGACTTGCACCTCGAGAAGTGAGGTTGTGTTTTGCCGGATTCGAAGTAACGGTCTCCTATCTCAAGTGGAATATGTGTCTAATATATACAAAATTTGCTTGGGATACCAGCCTAGGTGATGTATCACCGCGCTATCCAAACATGCCAGTGTTCATAGTGTCAGCTGCACTCTCGAAATAAAAGTCTTGGCGCGCACAAAGCTCAACTCGTGTAACACCTTGCCAAAATTCAAAATCATGCGCCCGTCGACATTGTGCCCATCGTCTAAATCATCTTGTGAACTTGGCCTAACACCTCTCACGTCCATCCCAAAGAACTGTCCGCCAGATTTGTGCCCCACGCTTTGTTTCGTCCAACGGGTATTGTTGAAGCTTTGTCGTTTAGTGATAGATATGAGAGTGAAGTTTATGGGTCACGATGTATGAGATAACTGAGATGCGGATGTATGAGTTCCTTACTATTGTTGTTGTGCTAGTTAGGGTTGTATTGTCTATATACATAAGGGATTTCTCCATCGACAAGTGGGCCACATCGCTTAGATCCGGCTAGGGACTTTCGCCATCCTGTTCCTTCTCCCCCGCAAGGCATCACGTGCTATGCAACCACTGCTCACCATGAATAGAATAGAATTGAATAGAATAGAATTAAATTTAAGTCCCTACTGAGTCTATGACTATGAAGGACTACTCTGCTCACCATGAAGTCCTAGGATAAAAAGCATTAGATTACAACAGGTATAACTAACGGCGTGGGCGTGTATTTGGTGGTCCACTGAGGCCAGAGGAGGTCGAAGATAGCTGTGGTCATTGAAACGAGGATATACTAGGTCTTACCTGTAAACTTGGTGAGGTTTTGGTGTGGGTCCATCTCATTAAGAGAGAGGAACCAATATCGTAGAGAGTCTTGGATCATTGCCTCGTGAGCCAACTTCGGAATTGCGATATGTCACTGAATCGTCTCTGGGAGAATATTTCACTCCCAGGTTCGTAGAGTACATCGCGTACAGGCGTTCAGTCTTGCCCTCCTACTCTTGTACTTGTAGCGCACACTTCCCACACTTCTAGCTTTCATCCGAACATGACACTCTTTTAGTCAACTTCTACTTTCGTTCCGTGAATATTGCGCCCATTCTATTGCGCGATATTTCCAACACAATCAAGGCCATGTTGGAGTCGTTGTAGCAGTGAAAATGGCCGCAGCATCGTTCCTCTTGGTGTAAAAATGCTTCATTAAATTATCTATGCTGGGCTGTCTGTTTCCTCGGCCCGATATAGAGTCGGCTAGTACACGTGCGGAGGCTACTCTTCCACTTGCCATCTGATACAAAAGATAATGCCCACTCTGGCGCCATGGGTTTGTCCGTATATGAACGTGCTAAGTAATTAACACCTTCCGCACTCCTTTTGGAGCTTGAGCACGAGTGGAGTCGGGCTAGATCAGGTCAACTGCCATTGAAGTACACAGGCCTCGTCCCGTCTAACTGACCGAGCTACCTCATACTCCACATATGTGTTGAATCATGCCAAGCTCGACCGTCGGGAAGCCCGCTTTATATACGACTTAGCGCGAGTTCTTCCTCAGTCTCGGCCACTAAGCGTCCGGGCCCTTGACTCTAAGGTGTCTATGTCGTCCTAGATGCCGGCTTTGTCCAGGCCTTACACTCCTCATCGCACCGTTAGAATTTTGTCGTCACTGTGGATCATTGTGATCTCATGGGTGTATATTCCCTTATTTTCATCATGAAATTGCTCACAACGGCGTGTGTTGGTCGTGGGTCTGATAAATGTGGTGGGTCGCAAATGTGGTGGGTCGCAGATGTGGGGTCGACTGACAGACACTGCGTCATGAATATATTAGGAGTTTGAGGGGGTTCGATTGTGTAAATACGACCCCCAAGTAGACCTAGGCCTATTAGTAATTTTTTGTTTGTGGCGATGAGATTCAGCTCAACTTTCTTGCAGTTGTGAAATCTCTGTCGACTGATTTTCGTCCAGAATACCAAGTACAATTCCTTCAACTCGAAAACCCACCAAATTTAACTCATACCGCTCTTCTTCGGCACTGAATCACGACTATTTGAAGGGCGTCGTCAACTCCTAGCAACTAAAGTCGCAACCCATACAATCCTCTTCAGCTTGAAATTGTCCATCTGAGACCAAACGATCTTCGGCCAGTGATCAGTTGTCTATCTGCTAAACCTTCGCTTCCTTTGTCGTGCTCAGCTATTTGGTATGGTAGATTAATTTTTTTCAAATTCATAGTTTTTTCAACTATCTAGCTATGTCACATTAACATTTTTTTTCTAACATTCTCCTTCCAATCAATCATTCTCCGCTTCAATCCAAGTAAAATATTTCCCAATTTTATGTCCTGGTTTGACTCCCTCTATATACGCCATGCACTTGGATGTATCCAAATTTTAAGTGATGCCTCCTTCTCTCTTTTAGTACAAAACAAGGTCGGATGTTTTATTGGCTTTATGCCCTGGAAGCATCTGTTCTTTTGGTCTCTGGAATTTTGACACTGTAACAACAAGTGCTGCACATTCTGTCTTCCTTTCACACAAAAATTGCAAATGTTAT